TGAGGCATTTAGGAACTAGCACACAAGTCATGGAGCTGGTGACGGCTGAGTAATGTTTTCCTCTTCTCAGGGTGGGAGCCAGAATATGGTGGCTTTACTTCCTACATTGCCAAAGGTGAAGATGAAGAGGTACGTTACTTCTGATTGTACACTCCACTTTCAGTTCTTGACAAAGCTTTCATTCTTCAGAGATCTCAGCCAGAAGCTGCAGCTTATAAATCCACCCATGCAGGCATGCCTGACAGTGGTTCTGATTTCTACAAGAAAATATTAAGTGGGCTGGGAAGGTAGCTTAGTGGTAGAGTGCTTGTCTATCATGCATGAAGCCCTGGGTTCAATTCCTCAGCACCACATAAACAGAAAAAGCCAGAAGTGATGCTGTGGCTCAGGTGGTAGAGTGCTAGCCTTGAGCAAAAAAAGAAGCTCACGGACAGTACCCAGGCCCTCAGTTCAAGCCCCAGGACTGGTAAAAAAAAAAAAAAAAGAAAGAAAATACTAAGAATGGAGAAAGGATGCTAAGAATTAATCACCATTTATCCTATCTTATCGAAAAGCAACAAGTTAAGATGCTCATAATATATCTCCATAAATCTTTTGGTGTAGAAATAAAGCAATAGTTAAAACTTTTCTGGGGCCGGGTGCTGGTGGCTCATGCCTATAATCCTAGCTACTCAGGAGGCTGAGATCTGAGGACTGCAGTTCAGAGCCAGCCCAAGCAGTAAAGTCCAGAAAACCAGAAGTGGCACTGTGGCTCAAAGTGGTAGAACACTCACCTTGAGCAAAAGAGCCCAGGCCCTGAGTTCAAGCCCCACAACCAATAACAACAAAAAACTTCTGGACGTTAGCTGTACGCTTGTTAGAAAATTGTCTTGACAGCAAGAAATCAGCTTTTTCTCTTGTGGTAAAGGATCCCCTGTCCCCCTACTTAAGCACTTACCATGGAAACCATCTGTTCCATGGTGAATCACTGAAGAGCTGAGAATGAGCTGTGTTCTGATGTCATTGTGTTTGCCTATTTCAGCTGTTAACAGTAAGTCCAGAAAACAATTGTCTCGCATTGGTCTACAGAGATCAGGAAACTCTGAAATTTGTCAAGTATATTAACCACCGAAGCCTAGAACAAAAGAAAACCTTGCCAGACAGGACTGGTTTCTGGGACTTTGCATTTGTCTATTATGAATAAAAGGAAGAAAACCTTGCCAGACAGGACTGGTTTCTGGGACTTTGCATTCGTCTATTATGAATAAAAGGACTGAGCAAACTGACAAAAAAAAAGTCAGGTTTTGTGAGTACTGGGAAGGTGGGAAGAGTTGTGTGTGAAGTAAAGGTGGCCTGGTTGACACTCCTGTCAAAAGTGACTGTCTTTATCAGGCTGGTGGCACATGTCTATAATCACAACACTCAGGCAGGAGGCTGAGGCAGATTTTGAGTTAGAGGCCAGCCTGAGCTGCACAGGGAAAAGTTGTCTTTAAATAAAACAAAATGTTATCTGAGCTGGGCACTGTGTATTTATCTTTTAGTTTAAAAGGGAGGGTTTATTTTCATCTTCAGAGGGGTTTTTTTTGTGTGTGTGAGGGAAGGGGTGGATCATGGGTTTTGAACTCTGGGTCTGGGTGCTACCCCTGAGCTCTTCAGCTCAAGGCAAGCATTCTGCCACTTGAGCCACAGCACCACTTCCAGTTTTCTGGTGGTTTATTGCAAATAAAGAGTCTCACGGACTTGCTGGCTTTGAACTGCAGTCCTCAGATCTCAGCCTCCTGAGTAGCTAGGATTACAGACATGAGCCACCAGCATCGGCTTCAGATTTTTTTTTTTTTTAAACTTCAGGGATGTTGTGGGGAGAGGGGGTAAAATTGCTGTTTAGCCCAAACTGGCTTTGCCACTTGCCTCAACCTCCCGAGTGCTGGGATTATAAGTATGTACCCACCATACCTGGCCAGTTTAATCATTTGTTTTTAACTTCAATCAGAATTATCCCTTCTATTTAACCAATTTAAGTGTACAGCTCAGTAATATTGAATACATTTACATTGTTGTACAATAACTATCAGTATCCACAATATTTCCATCTTCCCAAATGAAAATGTGCCTATTGCACAGTAACTCCCCGCTCTTCCGTCTCATCTCTACTATTCTTGGTTGGCTATGAATATTCATCCTCAGTGTAATTTTTTATGTAGTCTTTGTCCTTTTGTGACTTGATTGACTTACTTCCCTCCAAATTCCTCCATAGTGTTTCCAGTGATTTTTCTTTTTTATGCAGTGATTGTAGATTCTATTCTTCCCAGTCATACTGGCCTAGAAAATCACAGAACCTTAATTCTCATCCTTCTGGGCCTACAAGTTCTGATATAATTTGGCTCATTATCATTATTATCTCTGTCCCACTGCATGTGGTTTGTTCCAGTGACTTAGGGTAGACTCATGATGAGTAACATTGTACCCTTGGAGGTCTGGCTGAAAACCACCTAGCACCTAGAAGATAGAAGTTGATAAAGAAGACAGGCTTTTAGTGCTGCCATATGTGGCTGTTTGCCCATTGCCTTCATGGTGGGGCTTTTCCATGATTCCTTGAGTCTTAGCTTCATGTATGGCTTTTGTTTTCCTGAATGCTGAAAGATCAACTATAGAACTTGCCTTTTTTCCCTTTAAGAGATCAGCTGCTAAGAAACTATACCAAAATTCCAAAGGCTCAAGTAAAAGAACACATCCCTGCCAGGCACAAGACTAATTCTTTCCTCAAAAATGCTTATCTTATGCCTCCTAATGGAGGAGGGGTTTACAAATGTGGAGGAAACATGCTGTTCTCACACTACTCACACATTTCTCTTCCTCCTATTTCTTGCCATTGCTATCATTTGTATGTAGAGTGGTTTCACTAATAAATAGGAAAAACATTGCACCTTTAAACTTCTTGTCTACTCTTCCTAATATCTGAAAACGTTTGAGGAAGCCGGGCGCCTGTGGCTCATGCCTGTAATCTAACTACTTAGGAGGCTGAGATCTGAGGATCTGGGTTCAAAGCCAGCCCGGGCAGGAAAAGTCTGTGAGACTCTTATCTCCAATAAACCACTCAGAAAACCGGAAGTGGCACAGTGGCTCAAGTGGTAGAGCACTTGCGTTGAGCTGAAGAGCCGAGGGACAGCGCCCAGGCCCAGAGTTCAAGCCCCATGACCAATAAAAAAAAAAAAAACTTGTGAGGAATAATTCTTTTCTGAACTTTGCATTTAAATAATATTGCTTTTAGGCTGATGTGTTTTTTTATTTTAACTACCCCTTCCTCATCAGGAAAACCTATTTTATTTAGCATACATATATATGCTATATGAATATTTATAACTTGTATATGTATAGTGATACTATAAAACAGAATTTTGTTACAAATACTAGTTTTTAACCAAGAATACCCAAGCTTAGTTCTGGTTGTCTTCCCACATAACACATGCTAATAGATATGTACCCGGCATACTGTTTTGGAGACAGTTTTTAACACATGGTGTGGTGTAGTTACACTCAAGTGGGATTAGCAGATATTTTGCTAATGTTCATTTTGAAGATTCCCTTTTTTAAATTCCTACAGACCAGGAATCATCTTTGTCATACTGGTTTTTGTTTTTTTATTGTCCTGTTTTTGGGGGGTACTAAGGATGGAACCCAGGTTCAATGTTAGGCCAGTCCTCTAACACTGAGCCACACTTGAAGCCACGCTTACTTTCTAATATGTTTTCATGAGTTAGGGAATAAAAATAAGGGGAGAGGTAACACTGTCAATGGCTTAACCCCGGGAAGTCTCAAGGAAGTGTTGGACAGTGACACCATCAAGTGTGCCAAACTTGAAGACAGTTTGAGAAGTTTGAGATTCAGACTCTCAGTACCAATGAAAGGCCACTTTTCAGATTCTGGAGGGCTAGGTTTAAGTCTTAGACCTACATGTGGAACTGTAATTGTTTCTCCTTTATCTCTGTCTCTGTGGTGTCTGTCAGCAACAGAATATTTTTTTCCAGTCATGGGACTTGAACTCTGGGCCTGGACACTGTCCCTGAGTTCTTCTGCTCAAGGCGAGTGCTCTACCAATTGAGCCACAGTGCCACAGTGGTTTATTGGAGATAAGAGTCTCACAGACTTTCCTGCCCAGGCTGGCTTTGAACCACAATCCTCAGATCTCAGCCTCCTGAGTAGCTAGGATTACAAGCATGAGCCACCAGCACCTGGCAACCAAACTGTTTT